GGGGGGGGGAGAGGGAGAGGAAGTGGAAGAGGGAGTGGGGAAGGGAGTGAGTGGGAGAGGAAGAGGTAGGAGACCAGAGATTGGGGGAGGTGGTTGGGCTGGTTCGCCCACTGAAGCAGTGCTGGTGAGACTGCATGCTCAACCTCTTCCTCCTGCTGGGTGCTGCTGAGGTTGAATTAATGCAATTGCTTGGTTCAAAAGTTGCTGTACAAAACCGTCTAGTGGGTAGTGAGGGTTTTATGCCACAGGCTACGTGCATGCTAGACATTAAAGGCTCAAATTTATTACCGATAGATAAGGGAACCTACGGGTGCCTTACAGGTGTTCCGATTAAGCAATGTGCTCAGCACAGCACATGACTAACTAGATAACTAGAACAGCAAGCAGAAGCAGCAGCGTCAACATGAGCGGCTTCAGTGGGGAGAGAGAGTTCCCTGCAAAATCAAGACATTAGGAGAAAGAATTATAAAAAAATCCCATCGTGAGATCTCAAAACGGCTGAGCAGCGGGGCAACGGGCTAAAGTATAAAAATGTGAGCTTACCTGGGCTGTCAGGGTTGTTCCAGCCGATGGCTGCGGTGGGAGACGTGTCGATGAGCGGGCCGGTTCCAGGGAAGAGGACGACGGAGATGTCGTTCAGATCCGTGTCCGTCGTCGACTTGCTGTTGACAGTCTGATTCTTGGCGTTCGCGACAAGCTTCTCCGTGCGAATGATGCGACCGTACGCGTACTGCGTTCCGTCGTTCTTGGCGTCAGTGTCGTTCGCGAGACCCTTGGGAAGTGACCTGTTGTTGGCGCCGTATGCGCCAGGCGGCATGCAGCTCATGAACTTGAAATACTCGGAGCTAAAGTTGAGGGGGTTCAGAGCATAGATTGTTGTGTTGAGCATGCTTTTAACGGAGTTGCCATTTGAGGCCTGTGGAGAAACAACAAACACGAAGGAAAATTTGCCAACGATTTGTCGTTGAATGTGAGCATGTGCCTTATATTGGCTATCGTGCAGCTTAACATGCACAAAGCGAAGCATTAGGTCACACACATTGTCGGTGATAGCCGCATCAATATGCTTCTTATAACACATTACCAAAAATACTCACGTTGACGATGGCGGTAGTAATGGGGGTGACGTTCACTGCCAGCTGCTTCATGAGACGAAGCAGCACGTTCTGCGCGCCAGACGACGCGTCATACAGCCTGCCAGTGGCACCACCGCTGTCCCTGACTGCCAGCAGCGCCTCAAGAATGATGTCCGACGAGCCGGGGGGGTTCAGCGTCTTGTTGTAACCGCTCACAGCCGCTCCCCACGCCTGGTTAGTCGGGGAAAGGATGGTTGCTATGTTAACATCATTGAACCCCTCCTTCTCTGAGACGAACTGGAGGAGCGCGGAGGTCATGGACGTTCCCTGGAGATCGCCGAGCGGTCTGGCGCGCATCTTGGAGAGCAGCATGGAGACCGACGCGCCATTGGCAGCTGTCACGAGGGACAGTACCAGGGCGGACAAAGCAAACGCCACGAAGAGAGTACGGCGAGACATGATGGGTGTGAGTTTGAAATTAAGACAACGTAATGCTGTTCTGGTGTGAGCAATTTACAGTGGTCGATAGTGGCGGCGCGAGATCGGGTCTCAGCCACGTCGTGAACGTAGTTGTGCCTCAAGGATTTGTGCACCGCAATTGGGATCAAAAGATCCCTCGCAGCGCAGCCGATCACCTCCCACGCTCCTTGTGGCAAGACCTGCACTGTGAGTCGTTTCCGAGAAACTGTTAATACCAGATCGTGTATTCCATGACTTGAAGAATGGTTCAGTGTTTAGATAAGTTTAAAAAGCACTTAAATAAGAACTATTAGAGACCTTCAGTGAGAAAATGCGACCTAGTTTATTTTCCGCTGGAAGCGCGAAAAGGGCGGATATACATGCTGCTTCGGCATAAATATTCCAAGGAATAAAAGATTCGCTTTCGAAACGCGAGGAATAAACATCCACGTGGCAACTGGTGGTGGGCTAAACCATCTCGTTGGCATGCACATTCGCAAGATCCATCTCAAGCAGACCTGATTGTGTAAGCCTGCTAAACCCGCAACCCTGGACGGTTTTTCCTTGAAATGATACAAATCGGAAAGGGCATAGGTAGAATGTTATGCTTTCATGCGTGTTTTAGTGCATCTCGCATTGCCAAAACAAAATATGTATTCTGAGTCAATTATTTCCCAACTCAGCCCACTGGCCAGTTCCCTGGAAAATACAGGTATCTTCTTCACACGGAAGATATATGTAAGGAATTTTCTCGCTATTCCTTACTGCGACTGTCAACATCGCGTACGGCAGCAGCCGCCACTGTTCGCCCGTTACTGCTAACGGGGCTTCGCCAACTTCGCACGCACTGTTAAATTATAATGTGTTGGTAGGCTGTAGTGGGGTAGACAATATAGGGTACAACCCCATTAGGGTTAGGTACTTGTACTCTTGTTCTCCTTTCAATGCATTCATTCTTGCCTAGAATCTTGACATGGTATCAGAGCAGGAGGTCCCTAGGACCTACCGATCGTTTTTTTTAGGGCCCACCGTCGCACGCATGCGGTTACCACGCTACCCCGCGCCCTAGCTGCGCCCTCGTGCGCCCTCGTTAGCGCCCTCGCGCGCCCTCGTTACACCCTCGCGCGCCCTCGCTGCGCCCTCGCGCGCCCCTCGTTAGCGCCTTCACGCGCCCCAGTTAGCGCCCTCGTGCGCCCCTCGTTAGCGCCCTCGTGCGCCCTAGCTGCCCGCCCTTCGCGCTGCCCGCCGTGCTGCCTGCCCGTCGCGCTGCCCGTCGCGCTGCACGCCGCGCTGCCCGCCCGCCGCGCTGCCCGCCCGTCGCACTGCCCGCCGCGCTGCCCGCCGTCGCGCTGCCTGCCGCGTCGCCCGCCCGTCGCGCTGTCCGCCGCGCTGCCCGCCCGGCTGCCCGCCCGTCGTGCTGCCCGCCCGTAGCCCTACCCGCCCGCCGCCAGCCCTGCTGCTGCCACGACCGCCCCTTCTCCCCTACGCGCGCAGCCCCGCGGCCCCACGCACCCGCGTGCGCAGCCCGCCTCGCCTGCTGCTCCCTGCCCGTGCACCGCCGCTTGCTCCTGCTGCGGCTGCTAGCTTCGCTCTAGCGCGTCCCCTCTGCTGCTGCCGCTGCTCTGCTGTGCCCTCACGCCTGAGCTATGGCCTCTATTCGCGTTCTTTCCTTCGATGCTGAGGGCCGTCCCGTGCAGTTCACTTCCTGGCTCGACGACCTGCAGTTGTATCTTATGAGCAATAGCACGGACCACATCTCCCTCTATGACTACGCGTCTGGTGCTGCCGCTGCTCCTGCTGCCACAGCCGAGCTTAGTGTACGTTCCCAGTGGCAGACTCGTGACGCTGCAGCTCGCCTGGCTATTCGCAGTCACCTGCCGTTCGCTGAGCTAGAGCACTTTGGCGACTGCAAAACCGCTAAGGCCCTGTACGACGCTGTCGTTGCTCGCTACTCCTCACCTGCCACAGCCGAGCTTAGCCGCCTCATGCTGCCTTACCTGTTCCCTGAGCTGTCCACCTTTACTACAGTCGCCGATCTCATCACCCACCTTCGCACTAGTGACGCTCGCCTGCGTGCCGCCCTTCCCACCGAGTTCTGCGCTAAGAACCCCCCTCCACTGTACTGGACGCTCCATTTCATAGTCACCCGTCTCCATGACGCCCTCAGCTCAGTCCGAGACTACTTCCTTGCCCGCTGTCCCACTGAGCTCACAGTCGCCCTCCTAGAGGAGAAGCTGCTAGCAGCCGAGAAGAGCATTGTAGCTGTAGGTGCTGCTCGTGGCGCTCCTCGCACCCCCATCTTTGAGGGGTGTTCTCCCTCTCCCCTCGCTCCCTCCTACGCTACTGCTGCTGCTGTTGACCTCCTTGGTGCTGAGTCTGCTGGCGCTGCTTCTGCTCCTGGTGGGAGGCGCCGCACCGGCAAGGGCAAGGGGGGCAAGGGTGGCAGGGGTGGCGCTGGGGGGGGAGGTGGTGGGGGAGGTGGGGGAGGAGGCGGTGCTGGAGGGAGCGGTGGCGGGAGTGCTGGTGGGAGTGGAGGCAGCGATGGGGGCGGGGGCGGCGGCGGGAGTGGTGGCAGCGGTGGCGGCGGTGGCAGCGGCGGTGGCAGTGGTGGCGGTGGCGGCGGCGGCGGTGGCGGTCGGAGCGGCGGTAGTGGCGGCGGTGGTGGTCGTAGTGTCGGCCCCAGCTCGGGCCAGACCTCTCAGCAGCAGCAGCGTCCTCAGACGACCCAGCAGCTCCGTGAGTGGCTTGCTCAGCGTGGGACGTCGGGAGGCAGTGGTCGCTGTTCCTATGTCATTCGCACAGGTGAACGCAAGGGGCAGAAGTGTGGGAGGTTCCACACCCAGTACCGCTGCTTCTCCCGCCTTGATGACGCTTGGCGTGAGGAGATGGGCGAGGAGGTTGAGCGCCCCCGCTGGGCTGATCTGATGAGGGCTGGTGTTGATATCTTTGCTCTTGATTATGATGCTATTATTGCTGCCATGTATGCACTGCCTGTTCGTGCTGAGGGGGACTGTTACTTGTGTGTGCCGCCTGACCCAGGTATAGAGCCCACTGCCCTAGGTACCAGCGAGTCTGCTCTCTCAGGTACTGTGCCTTCCGAGGCTACTCCCTTCGGTACACCCCCTCCTGCTAGCGAGTCTGAGCTCTCAGGTACTGCGCCCGCTGAGGCCTTGCACACCTTCACGCTTGACTCAGGTGCTTCCCGCTGCTTCTTTCGTGACAGTACTGAGCTCACTCCCCTCCCTGCACCAGTTCCAGTCTCCCTGGCTGACCCCTCCGGGGGTCCAGTTCTTGCACGGTCTACCACTGTGCTTCCCTGTCCGGCGGTTCCGTCTGGCTCGTTGTCGGGTTTCCACCTCCCCTCGTTCTCTACGAACTTGGTGAGCAACGCTGTTATCCAGGATCACTGGGTTGACACCTTCACCCCTGGAGGACAGCGTGTGGCGATCCTCACGTGCTCCAGGACTGGCCGTCACCTGGCTACGTTCACTCGTCAGCCGGGGTCGAGTCTCTACACACTGACCACTGTGTCTCCTCAGGTCGCTGCTGTTGGTCAGGTGTCTGCGTCAGGTCTAGTAGCCCACCCCTGTGAGTGTCGCTCCCTGTCGCACCAGACCCTTCTCTGGCACCACCGCCTGGGTCACCCCTCCTTGCCGCGCCTTCGTGGCATGCACCGTCGTCACCTTGTGTCCGGTCTTCCCCGGTCTCTCCCTCCCCTCCCTGCCTCGCCTGCGCCGCCTTGCCTTCCTTGCGTCGAGGGGCGGCAGCACGCCGCTCCTCACTCCTCCTCGTTTCCCCCGACAGAGGCTCCACTGCAGACGCTCCATCTGGACGTGTGGGGCCCAGCCCGCGTCCGTGGACAGGGCGGTGAGCGGTACTTTCTGCTGGTTGTCGACGACTACTCGCGTTACACCACGGTCTTCCCCTTGCGCACCAAGGGTGAGGTCCCTGCTGTTTTGATCCCTTGGATCCGCACCGTTCGTCTCCAGCTCCGCCGCCGGTTCAGGACAGAGCTTCCTGTCCTGCGTCTGCACTCTGACAGAGGTGGTGAGTTCTCCTCTGACCTCTTGAGGGCCTTCTGTCAGGCGGAGGGCATCGAGCAGTCCTTCACGCTTCCGGGCTCCCCGCAGCAGAATGGGGTTGCTGAGCGCTGCATTGGCCTGGTCATGGAGGTCGCTCGTACCTCCTTGGTTCATGCGGCGGCTCCCCATTTTCTGTGGCCGTTTGCTGTCCGGTACGCTGCGCATCAGCTCAACCTCTGGCCCCGTGTCTCCTTGCCGGAGACCTCGCCCACACTGCGTTGGACGGGGGAGGTCGGCGATGCGTCGCGCTTCCGGGTGTGGGGTTCTCGTGCCCTTGTCCGCGATACTTCCGCGGACAAGCTCTCCTCCCGCACACTTCCCTGTGTCTTCCTTGGCTTTGTCCCTGACGCGCCAGGCTGGCAGTTTTACCACCCCACCTCGCGCCGGGTCTTCGCCTCTCAGGACGTCACCTTTGACGAGTCGGTTCCTTTTTACCGTCTCTTCCCCTACCGCACTGCCCCGCTCCCCCCCCCGCCGCTCTTCCTTGCTCCAGGTCCCCCTCCGGTCGACCCCCTTCCCCCTCAGGGTCCTGCTCCTTCAGGTGTCTCTCAGGTAGACCCTCCTCCCGTCGCTGAGCCTGTCGAGGTCACAGGTGACTCAGGTGCTACTGCGGGTGGTGCTGCTAGGGTTGCTGAGCCTGGGGGTGCTGTGCCTGGGGGTGTTGTGCCTGGGGGTGCTGAGCCTGGGGGTGCTGAGCCTGGGGGTGCAGAGCCTGGGGGTGCAGAGCCTGGGGGTGCTGAGCCTGAGGGTGCGGAGCCTGGGGGTGCTGGGACCATGGGTGCGGGGCCTGGGGGTGCTGTGCCTCGAGTTGCTGCGTCTGGGGGTGCTCAGGGTGTTGAGTCGCCTCTCCGGGAGCCTCTCACACAGCGGCAGCTCCGTGAGTGGTACGTCCGGCGCTTGCGCCTTTCCGCGTGGTGCAGCTGGAGCTGGAGGCGCTGAGACTGGGGACACTGGTGCTGGAGGTTCTGGCGGTGCTGCAGCTGCTGGTTCTGGGGGTGCTAGTCCTGGAGGTACTGCGGCTGCCGGAGCTGGTTGTTCTGGAGGTCCTGATCCTGGTGCCACTGGAGCTGGAGGTACTGGAGGAGCCGGAGCGGCTCGTTGTCGCGGTGCTCCGTCTGAGGGAGCTGAGCCTGTGCTTGAGGGGTCTGGGTGTGCTGCGTCTGGGGGTGCTGAGTCTGGGGGTGCGTCGCCAGTGGAGGCTGCGCCCTGGACTGGCCGCCTTCGTTCGCGTGTTCCTCTCACCTCCCAGCAGCTGCACGACTGGTTCGGTCGCCGTCAGCGTCGCCCTCCTGGAGCTCCGGGCTCTACTGCTGGTGGTGCCTCTACTGCCGCCCCTGGAGCTGAGAGTGGTGCTGGTTCGTTGTCTCCTGGAGGTACTCCCGTCGCTGGTCCCGGAGGTGCTCGTACCGCTGGTACTCGAGCTGCTGGGGCTGGTGGTGCTGTGTCTGAGGGTACTACCGCTGGGGACGCTGCGACTGGAGACCCTGGGACTGGAGGTGCTGGTTCTGGGGGTGCTGCTGCTAGTGGGGACAGTCCTGGAGGAGCTGACACTGGGGGTGGTGGTGTCGCTGGAGGTGCTGGAGCTGCTGGTGCTGGCGGTACTGTACAGTCGCGCCTGTTCTTCGCTCCGCCGTCGCCGTCGTCTCTGCCGCCGTCTGACTCTGTCCTTCGCCAGGTTCTTAGTCTTCCGTCTTCTACTGGTCTTCCGTTACTGCCTGGCTCGCCCTTGCGTGCTCCTTCTCCTTACACTGAGCAGTCAGGGGGTCTTACTGAGCGTCGTGAGCCTGCGTCGCGTCCTGTCTCGCCTGTTCGTTCTGGTCGTTCCGCTCGCCGCGTCTCGCACCAGCGTTCGCCGCCTGTTGCTGGTTCTCGCCTTGTCGTCCGTCGTCCCTCCTCTGTACCACAGTCGGTTCCTCTGCCGTCTCCTCCTGCGTCTTCTTTGCCTGACGTTCCGGACCCTGCGTCTGACCGTTTTCGTGCTGAGCACCCTACCGTCACGCGTCTGTTAGCCACTGCTGTCACTGACCCGTCTTTTGAGTCGGCTGCTGCGTCTGCCCTGGTCGCTGAGCTTGTTGACTTTGCTGCTGTCTGTCGTCTAGACTACACTGCCAGTCTTGTTGCTGAGTCTGAGTCTGTCTGTCCTCCGTCCGTCGGGGGTGAGTGTGCTCTTGGCACGGACGTCCTTGAGGACAGGCAGGAGGACTTTGACTCTCTTGCGGCTGCTGTACCTCATCTCGTGGCCTGGCTGCTTGCCCCTGAGGGAGACCCGGATGCACTAGACATCCCCACTCCGCGCTCTTACGCAGAGGCGATCTCGGGTCCCTACTCCTCTCAGTGGCAGACAGCCATGGACGCAGAGATGGCATCCTGGAAGTCCACAGGCACCTACGTCGACGAGGTTCCCCCTCCAGGGGCGAACATCGTCGATGGCATGTGGATTTTCAGGGTGAAGCGGCCGCCTGGTTCTCCGCCTGTCTTCAAGGCTCGTTACGTTGCTAGAGGTTTCAGTCAGCGACAGGGAGTTGACTTCTTTCAGACCTTCTCCCCCACCCCGAAGATGACCACTCTTCGGGTGTTGCTGCACGTTGCTGCTCAGCGTGACTACGAGCTGCACTCTCTTGACTTCAGCACAGCTTTCTTGCAGGGCAGCCTCCACGAGGAGATCTGGCTGCGCCGCCCTCCTGGCTTCACTGGGTCGTTCCCTCCTGGTACCCAGTGGAGCCTTCGGCGGCCAGTCTACGGTCTCCGCCAGGCGCCGCGCGAGTGGCACGACACACTGAGGACTACACTTGCGGCCCTTGGGTTTGCTCCTTCCACTGCTGACCCGTCACTGTTCCTGCGCACAGACACGTCGCTGCCGCCGTTTTACATCCTCGTGTACGTCGACAACTTGGTCTTTGCTACTGCTGACACTGAGGCACTCGCTCGTGTGAAGTCGGAGCTGCAGAAGAGACACACCTGCACTGACCTGGGTGAGCTGCGCAGCTACCTTGGCTTGCAGATCACCCGGGACAGAGCACGCCGCACCATTACCCTGACTCAGTCACACATGGTGCAGCAGGTCCTTGAGCGCTTCGGCTTCCAGTTCTCCTCACCACAGGCCACACCTCTGGCTACCAGTCACTCGCTCTCAGCTCCACCTTCGGACGAGTCCGTAGAGCCGAGTGGCCCGTACCCAGAGCTTGTAGGCTGCCTCATGTACTTGATGACTTGCACGCGACCTGACCTCGCGTACCCTCTTAGCATCCTTACTCGTTACGTTGCGCCTGGGAGGACGCGACAGAGTTGCCCTCACTGGTCACTCAGACGCTTCTTGGGTGGACGACCTGGCTACGCAGCGGTCGTCACAGGGTTACACTTTCAGCCTTGGCTCTGGTTCTGTCTCTTGGCGGTCCACCCGCTCTTCTTCTGTTCTCAGCTCTAGTTGTGAGGCTGAGATCTACGCCACGGCCATGGCTGCACAGGAGTTACGCCGGCTCACCTACCTGCTGACTGACTTGGGAGAGCGGCCTAGTTCTCCTCCAGTTCTGTACGGAGACAACAAGGCGGCCCTTGCCTTGTGTCAGGAGCACAGACTGGAGCACAGAACGAAGCACATTGCTCTTCGCTACTTTCTTGCTCGAGAGCTGCAGCAGCGTGGTCAGCTTCGTCTTGTGTACGTGGACTCGAAGGCCAACACTGCTGATGTCTTCACCAAGGCGCTTCCGCCTAGTGATCATTAGCGGCACTGTACTGAATTGGGCCTTGTGTCCACATTACCTCATTTGCTTACTGCTTGACTTTCTTTGTACTGTGATTTATATATATCGCTGCTTGCTTGCTAGGTTTTGATCACTGTGTTGCTTGTCTTGTTCTATATATATAGCTCTGCATGTGAACTGGCCTTGTGGCCTTTGCTTGTGTTCAGAGTGTGGTGACGTTGTGATCCACCCTGGGCTTGCTTTGCTTTGCTGGACTGGTCTTGTGACCCCTTGTTCTCCCCCACTTTGCTTATGGGGGTGTGTTAAATTATAATGTGTTGGTAGGCTGTAGTGGGGTAGACAATATAGGGTACAACCCCATTAGGGTTAGGTACTTGTTCCCTTGTTCTCCTTTCAATGCATTCATTCTTGCATAGAATCTTGACAGTAAGGAATTTTCTCGCTATTCCTTACTGCGACTGTCAACATCGCGTACAGCAGCAGCCGTTGTTCGCCCGTTACTGCTAACGGGGCTTCGCCAACTTCGCGCGCACTGTTTTACCAAACCTTGAACTGCTGGCCCGGCCGAGTCGGCCTACGCTTCAGGACTAGCCCGAACCTCATACCCGCGTAGCACTAGCTAGCTCGCACGCACCGCGTTACCGTTTGCATGTTTCGCGTATAAGTATTCGCTATGCCTTCGCTCGTACTTTGTACTCGATTGACACCCTAGTGCAATGTCAAAATCGAAAGCGTTGGTGTCATTGATGCAGGTTGTCAAATTATACATGCTATATTTGTGTAGGCTGTAGTGGGGTAGCCAATATGGGGTACAACCCCTCTAGGGTTTGATACTTGTACCCAACTCTCTTTCAATGCATTCATTCATTCCTGCCTGTAGTTTCTAACATGGTATCAGAGCAGTAGGTCCGTAGGACCGTTTTTTTTTTTTTTTTTTTTTTTTTTTTTTCGGGCCCACCGTAGTGACCGACTGCGGTTACCGCGCTACCCCACGCACTGCCTTGCCCTGCGCCGCCCTCGCGCGCCGCCTGCCTGCAGCCCCGCGCGCCGCCTTTACCGCCCGCGCGCTGCCCCTGCAGCCCCGCGTGCTGCCCCTGCCGCCCGCGCGCTGCCTCTGCCGCCCCGCGCGCCGCCCCTGCAGCCCTCGCGCTGCCTCTGCAGCCCAGCGCGCCGCCTGTGCAGCCCGCACGCTGCCTCTGCCGCCCCGCGCGCTGCCCTTGCAGCCCCGCGCGCCGCCCCTGCAGCCCGTAAGCTGCCTCTGCTGCCCCGTGCGCCGCCCCTGCAGCCCTCGCGCTGCCTCTGCAGCCCCGCGCGCCGCCTCTGCAGCCCGCACGCTGCCGCTGTTGCCCCGCGCGCAGCTCCTGCAGCCCTCGCGCTGCTCCCTGCAGCCAGTGCGCTGCCCCTGCAGCCCCGTGCGCCGCCTCTGCAGCCCGCACGCTGCCTCTGCAGCCCCGCGCGCTGCCTCTCCCCTGCTCGCGTACCCAGCCCTGCCCTGCTGCGCACCCGGCCCTGCCCCTGGCCTACGCGACACCCTATACTGCTACGTTATGGCCACCCTCAGCGTCCTCGAGTTCAATCCTGAGGGCAGTCCGATTAAGTTTGAGACTTGGCTTCAGGACCTCCAGCTGTACCTGCTGAGCGATTCGAAAGACAATGTCACACTGTTTGACCTCACCTCTGGAGCCTGTCCTACCCCTCCCGACACTGCTGACAGTACGACTCGCTCCCAGTGGCTTACTCGTGACGCTGCCGCTCGCCTAGCCGTTCGCAACCACCTGCCGATAGCCGAACGCGCTCATTTTGACCAGCCTAAAACTGCCAAAGCTCTGTATGACGCTGTAGTCGCCCGCTACTCTTCCCCTGCCACTGCAGCTCTCGGCCGCCTTATACTGCCCTACCTGTTTCCCGAGCTGTCCTCCTTTGCCACAGTTGCGGACCTCATTACCCACCTTCGCACTAGCGACGCTCGCTACCGCGCTGCCCTCCCAGCCGAGTTCGTCCCCAAGAACGAGCCCCCGATTTACATCACTCTCTATTTTATAGTCACCCACCACCCTGACTCTCTTCGCGCAGTCAGGGACCACTTTCTCGCCCTTAACCCCACCAAGATCACTATCGACCTGCTCGAGGAGCACCTCCTTGCAGCTGAGACTAGTGCAGTCGCTGTAGGTGCTACTCGTGGCACTCCTCGCACGCCCTTCTTTGAGGGGTGCTCCCCCTCCCCCCTTGCCCCCTCTGTTGCTTCTGCTGCTGCTGTCGACTTCCTTGGTGCTGAGGAGGTCGGTGCTGCCTCTGCTCCTAGTGGGAAGCGCCACAGCAGCACGGGCAAGAGAGGCAAGAGCGGGGGGGTGGCGGCGGGGGGGGGTGGTGGTGGAGGCGGTGGAGGCGGTGGCGGTGGAGGCGGTGGCAGTGCGAGTGGTGGCGGGAGTGGTGGAGTCGGTGGCGACGGTGGCGGCGGTGCTGGGGGTGGTGGTGGTGGTGGCAGCAGTGGGAGTGGTGGCGGCGGTAGTGGCGGCGGAGGGGGTAGTGGCGGCGGCAGTGGTGGTGGTCGGGCTGGAGCCAGTCAGCGGCAGCAGCAGCAGCGTCAGGGTGAGACCCTCACGCCCCAGCAGCTTCAGCAGTGGTACGCTCAACGTCTGGCATCTAGGGGTAGTGATCGCTGCCCGTATGTCATTCGCACAGGGGACCGCGCTGGTCAGACATGCGGGAAGTTTCACACCCAGCACCGCTGTTTCTCCCGCCTAGACGACGCTTGGCGCACTGAGTATGGTGATGAGGTTGAAATGCCCCCTGGGAAGAGCTGCTTAGGGCTGGTGTTGATATCTTTGCTCTTTGACGATGATGTTATTCTTGCTGGCATGTATGCTATGACTGTTAGTGCTGAGGGTGACTGTTACTTGTGTGTGCCGCCTGACCCAGGTATAGAGGCTGCTGCTCTAGGTGCTAGTGAGTCTGCTCTACTGCGCCTTCTGATGCCTTACACACCTTCACGCTTGACTCAGGTGCTTCTCGCTGTTTCTTTCGCGACAGTACCACAGTCACACCACTCACTAGACCCGTTGCAGTTTCCCTGGCTGACCCCTCTGGGGGCCCGGTTCTTGCACGTTCCTCCACCGTGCTCTCGTATCCAGCGGTTCCGTCCGGTTCACTGTCAGGTCTCCACCTCCCCTCGTTCTCGACGAACTTGGTGAGCACCCCAGTCCTTCAGGATGAAGGGGTTGATACCTTTACACCTAGAAAGCAGCGTGTGGCGATTTGTACGTGCTCTCGGACTGGCCATCACCTGGCCACGTTCACCCGTCGGCCTGGGTCGAGTCTGTACACACTGACTACTGCGCCGCCTCAGGTCGCTGCGTCTGCTCAGGTGTCCGCGTCAAGTCAGGTAGCCCCCTGCGAGTGTCGCCTCCTATCGCACCAGACTCTCCTTTGGCACCACCGCCTTGGTCACCCCTCCCTGCCACGCCTTCGTGGCATGCACTCCCGCCTCCTTGTCTCTGGTCTTCCTAAGTCTCTGCCTCCCCTCTCACCCTTGCCTGCCCCGCCCTGCATTCCTTGCGTCGAGGGGTGGCAGCGCGCCGCTCCTCACTCCTCCTTGTTTCCCCCGACGACTGCTCCCTTGCAGACTCTCCACATGGACGTGTGGGGCCCAGCCCGTGTCCGAGGATAGGGCCACGAGCGGTACTTTCTGCTGGTTGTTGACGACTACTCGCGTTACACCACGGTCTTCCCCTTGCACAGCAAGGGGGAGGTCCCTGATGTCTTGATCCCTTGGATCCGAGCTGTTCGTCTAGTCGTTCACGCTTCCGACCTCCTCGCAGCAGAATGGGATTGCAGAGCGCCGCATTGGCTTAGTCATGGAGGTCGCTCGTACCTCCATGATCCATGCGGCTGCCCCCCATTTTCTGTGGCCGTTCGCGGTCCGGTACGCGGCGCATCAGCTCAACCTCTGGCCCAGTGTCTCCTTGCCGGAGACCTCGCCTACACTGCGTTGGACGGGGAAGGTTGGCGATGCGTCGCGGTTCCGGGTCTGGGGTTCTCGTGCCTTTGTTCGCGATACCACCGCGGACAAGCTCTCCTCTCGCGGCGTCCCCTGCGTCTTCCTTGGCTTTCCCCCTGACACGCCTGGCTGGCAGTTTTACCACCCCACCTCGCGCCGTGTCTTCCCCTCTCAGGACGTCACGTTTGACGAGTCAGTTCCCTTTTACCGTCTCTTCCCCTACCGCGCTGCCCTTCTACCCCCTCCGCCGCTCTTCCTCGCTCCAGGTCCCCCTCCGGTAGGCCCCCTCCCCCCCTCAGGGTCCTGCTCCTTCAGGTGTCTCTCAGGTAGACCCGCTTCCTTTGGCTGAGCCTGTAGAGGTCACTAGTGACTCTGGTGCTGCTGGAGGTGGTGCTGCTAGAGGTGTTGCGTCTGGGGGTGCTGAGCCTGGGGGTGCTGAGCCTGGGGGTGTGGAGCCTGGGGGTGCTGAGCCTGGGGGTGCTGAGCCTGGGGGTGCGGAGCCTGGGGGTGCTGCGCCTGGGGGTGCTGAGCCTAGGGGTGCGGAGTCTGGGGGTGCTGAGCCTGGAGGTGCGGAGCCTGAGGGTGCTGAGCCTGGGGGTGCTGCGTCTGGAGGTGCTGAGCCTGCTGGTGCTGAGTCTGGTGGTCCTGTGCCTGGTGGTGTTGCGTCTGCTGGAGGTCCTCAGAGTGCCTTGCTGCAGCGGTCTAGCCAGTGGGAGTCTCTCTCACCTCAGCAGCTGTGCAAGTGGTTTGCTCGGCTTACACGCCTTCGGAGTCGCCCTGCTCGCTGGAGCTGGAGCCGCTGGAGCTGGAGGCACTGGTGCTGGAGGCGCTGGAGGTCCTGGGGCTGGAGGTACTGGTGCTGGAGGCACTGTGCAGCAGCGACCGTTTTTCTTGCCGCCGGCGGAGTTGTCCGAGCTTCCGCCCGAGTCGGTGCTCCGTCAGGTTCTTAGTCCTGCTTCGTCCACTGCCCTTTCTCCGCACTCACCGCTGCCTGCCCCACCTCGTTACACTGAGCAGCCTGCCTCCCTTACAGAGCGTCGTGCGCCTGAGTCTCGTCCTGCCTCACATGTTCGCACTGTTCGCCGTGCTCGTCGTGTCCCGCGTCCGCGTCCTCCTCCTGTGCCAGGCACTCACACTATGGCACTTCGTCCTTCCTCTATCCCACAGCGCGTTCCTCTACCGTCTCCTCCTGCGTCCTCTCTTCTTGGCATTCAGGACCCTGAGTCCAACTCGGTTCGTGCTGCCAGTCCCACTGTCACGCGTCTCCTCGCTACTGTCGTTACTGACCCGTCGTTTGAGTCCACTGCTGCGTCTGCCTTAGTTGCTGAGCTTGTCGACTTTGCTGCTGCGTGTCGTCTAGACTACGCCACTAGTCTTGTTGCTGAGTCTGAGTCTGTCTGTCCTCCGTCCATCGCGCGTGAGTGTGCTCTTAGCACGGACGTCCTTGAGGACAGGCAGGAGGACTTTGAGTGTCTTGCGGCTGCTGTACCTCATCTCGTGGCCTGGCTGCTTGCACCTGAGGGAGACCCGGATGCACTGGACATCCCGACCCCGCGCTCTTACGCAGAGGCGATCACGGGTCCCTACTCCTCTCAGTGGCAGACAGCCATGGACACAGAGATGGCATCCTGGAAGTCCACAGGCACTTACGTCGACGTAGTTCCCCCTCCTGGGGCAAACATAGTCGATGGCATGTGGATTTTCAGGGTGAAGCGGCCGCCGGGTTCTCCGCCTGTCTTCAAGGCTCGTTACGTTGTACGAGGCTTCAGTCAGCGACAGGGAGTTGACTTCTTCCAGACCTTCTCCCCTACCCCAAAGATGACCACTCTTCGGGTGCTGCTGCACGTTGCCGCTCAGCGTGACTACGAGCTTCACTCTCTTGACTTCAGCACAACGTTCTTGCAGGGTAGCCTGCACGAGGAGATCTGGCTGCACCGCCCACCAGGCTTCACTAGGTCGTTTCGTGTTGGTACCCAGTGGAGCCTCCGGCGGCCAGTCTACGGTCTCCGCCAGGCACCTCGTGAGTGGCACGACACACTGAGGACGACACTTGCGGCGCTTGGGTTTGCTCTTTCGACTGCTCACCCATCGCTGTTTCTACACACCGACACCTCGCTGCCGCCGTTCTACATCCTCGTGTACGTTGACGACTTGGTTTTTGCCATTGCTGACACTGAGGCACTCGCCCTTGTGAAGTCGGAGCTGCAGATGAGACACACGTGCACAGACCTGGGTGAGCTGCGCAGCTACCTTGGCCTGCAGATCACCCGGGACAGAGCACGCCGCACCATCACCCTGACTCAGTCACACATGGTGCAGCAGGTCCTTCAGCGCTTCGGCTTCCAGTTCTCCTCACCACAGTCCACTCCTCTGCGTACCGGTCACTCGCTCTCAGCTCCACCTTCGGACGAGTCCGTAGAGCCGAGTGGCCCATATCCAGAGCTTGTGGGCTGCCTCATGTACCTGATGACCTGCACTCGACCTGACCTTGCGTACCCTCTTAGCATCTTGGCTCGCTACGTTGCACCTGGTAGACATTGGCGAGAGCACTGGGAGGCTGCTAAGAGGGTACTGCGTTACCTGTGCAGTACATCGGGCATGGGGCTGGTGCTTGGAGGACGGGGTGACGTTGTCCTCACTGGACACTAAGACGCCTCTTGGGTTGACGACTGGCTACACAGCGGTCCTAACAGCGTTACACCTTCAGCCTTGGTTTCGGCTCTGTTTCTTGGCGGTCTACCCACTCGTCTTCTGTTCTCAGCTCTAGTTGTGAGGCTGAGATCTACGCCGGGGCCATGGCTGCGCAGGAGTTACGCTGGCTCACCTACCTGCTGACCGACTTGGGAGAGCGGCCTAGTTCTCCTCCAGTTCTGTACGTCGACAACAAGGCCGCTATCGCCTTGTGTCAGGAGCACAGACTGGAGCACAGAACAAAGCACATCGCTCTGCGCTACTTCCTTGCTCGAGAGTTGCAGCAGCGTGGCCAGCTTCGTCTAGCTTACGTGGCCACTCGGGCCAACACAACTGAAATCTACACCAAGGCACTTTCACCTGGTGATCATCAGCGTCTCTATACTGCTCTAGGCCTTGTGCCTACGTTTTGTCATTTACTCATTTCTTGACCTTGTTTGTACTGTGGTCTATATATAACTCTAGATGCTTACACTTGCTAGGTTGTGATCACTGTACTGTTTGCTTTGTTTTATATAACTCTGCATGTGAACTGGCCTTGTGGCCCTTTGCTTCTTGTGCTCAGAATGTGTGGTGACTTCGTGATCCACCCTCAGCTTTCTTTGTTTCTCTTGACTGGTCTTGTAACCGTCTGTTCTCCCCCACTTTGCCTATGGGGGTGTGTCAAAATATATTGTGTAGGCTATAGTGGGGTAGCCCATATGGGGTACAACCCAATTAGGGTTAGGCATATTTGTACCCCATTTCTGCTCAATGCACTCATTCGTTCCTGTTAGTTCTCAACACAGGAAATCAACTTATGTTTTTTCACTCGAAGGGACTCACGCTCCTTAGCCCCTTGGAGCCGCTGTCATCCTCTCGTAAACGCGTGCAACCACGACCGCACCTAGACTAAATTGAGTTGACGCCCTTCGACATGGCCGAACACATCGACGTTACTACGCTCACGCATGAGCGCTTGAACGAACTGCTGCAGCAACTTCGCGAAAGCTCCGAAGAAATCGCGGCGCTGACGGCAGAACGAACGTCCCTGCAAAATGACGTCGCACGAGCACAACAAGCACAATCGCAAGCACCAGGCACACCGGGACGACCCGCACAACAAGCATCACAGCACGGAAGTGTGGGGCAACCCGCCAGCACGGCTAGTGATGGCGTCGTCCGCAACGATGGATACGACGACCACGGCGCGACACACCCCGAAGCGACGAATGCGGCCATAAGCCACCCCCACGTCACGATTTCGGTGCCGACCGGCGAGTCAGCACTGCCGTCGCCGATGCCGCTGAAGCCGCAGTGTTCGTCTTACATGCTTTGACCCGAGTCAACGGGGTGGTCCTACCATTCAGGCGTGGTTATTCACCATGAACGTGTTTTTCGACACGAACTACGTCTCGGAGGATACGGGGAAGATTCGTTACGCCGTGTTGCTGTTGCGAGGACCCGCCATGGATTGGTGGCGTGTCATCGTCACGAAGCCGACGGACTACGCGACTCTGCCGA